AGCTGTTGTCACGATGTTCGCGTGAGAGCAGTGCTCATCCGAGTTGCCGTCACAATGTTCGCGTCGTGATTGTAAATGACACGATCCGCGATGAGGCAGCCACGCCGTTTCTTGTGCATTCATCGCCAAAGGTGATGGACCAGGCATCTTTGCACGGCAAGTCCCTTCGCACAAGCGAGACAGTTTAGCACGACAGGCCTTCGACCCTGAGCTACATCGGCATGTATAGTGGACAAAGCTTACTGGTGCGAAAGTGCTTTGCCACAGGACCATACATATAGCAGTCAAGAGTCAGATGCAGCTTCTCTTTTTGGGCATCCTGAAATAGACTCACGACTCATCATCAAGACTCATCAGAGATTAGACTGTGCGTGCTGCGCATGAGCCGATTGCTGTGCTGCAGCGGCCATTGACGCGACGCGACTCGACTCGGCTTGACTCGCGGCAGAGTCTTGACTCTTGCCTGTGCGGTCCCGTACGTACACTGTACGTGCAGTGCTGGCGAAACACTAAATTGAGACCGTGCAGCTGCTGCATGGCAAGGGGTGATGGGGATCGGGGCGCGGCGGAGCGGTTTGCTGAGGCTTGGCACCGTTCCTGAAACTCGTGACTCTTTCCTCTTCGTACACTCCAACTACTCTCTATACTACTACTCACGACTTGTGCTGCACACGGTAATGAAGGCTGAGGGGCCACCGGAAGCAAGGTCGAAACAGGTCTCGTATAGCTAATTGGACTGATGGCGCACGCATGCAGCGCGGTACGCGCCTTGATCGGAAATGTCGGCGCGCTTCGCTCAGAATCTTGACAATCAAGGACTCGTGGTGAATGACCGGGTTGAGGAGCGTGCTTCCACATCCAGTCACAACACTACTCGATTCGCTCTGGTCCGAAGCCCAGCGTAGGACAGGTCGAAGTAACTATACCCACTTAGAGTGTCAGCTAATTTTGGTCGGTGAATCACGAATGAAGTCGTCAGGAGGCACGCGTCGCTGTGGCTATGTACATTGTACATTACATCATGAAGACCCATCGCTCAGCAGCATTGGGTGCGGAGCTCGGTGAGAATAAGAGGCAGGGGTTGGTCGAATTGGCAGCGTTTCCGGTGGCCGGTGCGCGTAGAGGACGTCTTACGAAGCATGATGTGAGAGCGAGACACCTAGCTCAGACTGAGAATCAAAAATGATGATCGCTTGATGAACATTACGAATAATCTGGAACACGAATCGGATCTCAAATGTTTGAATCACGAATGGTGAGCAAGTTACAGAAGAGTTGTGAGTGCAAGACAGCGTAGCTGCAGCACAGCTGCCCTCGAGCCGCTCGTCCATGCGCAGCAATCACGAACAGACGCGCTTTCTTCTGCTCGCTCGCCCCGCCGGTCAGTCGCGCGGCGACTTCAAAATTTCAGCAAAACTCTTTGGGCCGCGTTGCATATGCGCGGTGAGTCAATAAGTGCAGCAGCGTTTAATCAGGCGCATAATTGCAGACATTCACAATTGGGTGGTGCATGGGTTCGAGGCCATGATGCTTCCATTGCTGCAGTCAAACGTGAATGGATGCGACTCACGACTGCAGCGACTGCAGCGACCCTTGCTGTCTGTTATTGCATCCCTGCTGCTGGCCTGATGCCGCTGCATGATGACCCAGCCAAACGGTACCGAAAGTCTGCTGCTGTTGCCGCTCACATATGGGCGCCCCGCGGTGTGATGGTTGATGACGGGCCTACCTTGCGGTGTGAATCGCACCCGCGCATCGCAGACCCAACCACGAATCCACCCACGTTGCTATACCTCGTGACCTCTGACAGCATCTTCAGTCCACAAGAGAAGCAAGGTGAGACAGCCAGTCCCCTCGGCACTCGCGTCCATCTCCACTTTCAGCTCGTTCAGAAGGAATCTTTCATATCACCTCGTGCTGAGTCCACCTCTCCTCATCACGCGGGCGAAGCGCAAGCGTTCCACAAGAGGCGCACCTGCACCACTCCACCACGCATCGTCTCACAGCAAATCTCTCAGCGCCAGCGTGCCCTTGATGATCTCAAGCTGAAGCGACACCCAGCATTGACGATCTCACTCTTCACCTCGTCACTTTGCCAGGTGTAGCAGGCCGCCAGCGATCGAAAGGCCATCGTTCGTAGCTCGTCAAGGGCCAAGGCGCGCCTCAACATGTCCCACAACGAGCACGTGGTCGATCAAGACCCACACGCATCGTTTGTCCACGATGCTATAAGGTTGTTTGCTGCTGTCAAGAGCGGCAATGTCACTATTACGGCGCCAGATGGCTTTGGCAATGGCACATCGTTCGAGGATGGAGGTAAACCAATCTCGTTTGCAAATTTCTTGGATCAGCAGGTGAGTGGTGATCTGCATGAAGAAACACGTTTCGTCGATCCGCGCGAATACATAAATGCGGCTGCCTAACGTCCTTCCATCCCATCGATGAGGCAGAGAGTCATACACGACGTTGCGGTAGCGTCCTTGACTCTGTATGCGTGGGAATTCTTCTGTACCATTCCGCAAGAATGGTCTCTCTATCGACATCGTAAGCTCCTGTCCCCTCAAGTTATTCTCTTCGCCGCTGTGAGGTATCTCGCCATACCTGCACTGGTCTTGCCGGCATACAGCGCTTTCAACGACTTCTCAAACGATCTAAAAGGCTGTCTGCTGCATCAGCAATTGACCATCGTGCCTGTACAAGCGGCCGTTGCTGCCATCTTCAGCTGGCGGACCTGCGCAATTTGGGGCTGGGCTCCCAAAATCAAGTGGGGACTGCTGGCTCTATTCTTGGCTCAGATCGGCTCGAGCTTCGCTCTGCTCTGGTACAGCGGACAGAAGCTTTTGCCGACCGGTGCATGCATGCCCGTAGCCAAGCCCGGCATTCCAAACACGCTGGCTTGGTTCTATGTGACCGCCTTGATCTTTGACGGCATCACTGTTGGACTGTCACTTTGGAAGCTCCTTGAGCTCAGTCAGAGTGGTGGCCCCGAGGAGCATACAGTACGCGCACGCGATCTTTGTAGTCCCTGGATCCTGGCAAAGAAGCTACGCAGCCAATGGGCGACGATGACACCATTGCTTGGACGCCTGATCACTAGCGGACTGATCTACCTATTCGTCGCATCAGCTTTCAATCTCATCAACTTTGCCTTGGAGATTTCGAATTGGATTCACGCCAAGGTCAGTCATCGTTCGCAGTCTCGTTCTTGGCACGTGCGGAACTTACACCTCTATGATCTGTGTAGGCTCTCATCCCGCTGTATGCTCCACTCATGGCAATCTTAGGTCAGCGAACCGTGCTCGTCGAAGCGGAAGCTGTTTATGGAAGTGGACGCGGCAGCACTGCGGATCGCAATCGCTCGCTGGTCGAGCGCGTGCTGCGAGAAGGGCGAAAGTCATGGGAAGGGTCCTTCGTGATCGATCCAACGGCTGCTCTTACTCCTCAATCTCCTCCTGTGAATGGCAGCACAAGTCAATCTCCCTCTCACAGCAGGCCCAGACACTTGACGCTGGACTTGGGCTCTACCTCGAACGCGTCCCCCGCGCAAGCCGAGTCAAGCGCACATAGCGAAGGTGCTCATCTTAGCCGGACCACCACACACGTGGGCAACAGCTCAGCCAGCGAAAAGGCCAGCTCTGGCAGCCTGACCTTTGCAGTGATGCTAGATACTCCTGTCACGGACGCAGACGCCAGATCCAAGCGTACTCGTACCAAAGGTGGCAGCTTTTCAAAATTGCGAGATGCACTCCCGGGACAGAGAGGACGGAGCAGCTCCAAGGGCTCGTTGAGAGAGAGTCCTAGTCAATCTGAGACCGAAGCCAGACGTGGAGCGCCAGTTCTGTCTCCGGCTGCACGTGCGCTCGCTGTACAAATGGCCGGCCTGGATGTCGACACTACCGTAAATAGGTTTGGAGTTGCGAGCGGAGACGACGCTCTGCTGTCCGCCATCACAGCCAGCCATGACGACGATCTCGATCGACTGGAGCGAATCGAGGACACCGGTGCTCCTTCGTCTATCCATCGGTGAGGGGCCCCTGCTGCGCGCTGCACCGAAGCCACCCAGTATCATTTCGTGTTACTAGACAGCGCCGCTGTCGTCCACCTCGATTCATGATTCCTGCGCACATATGTACCATTATCGCTCTCTCACTGTCCGTTTCCGCCTCATCGTCACCTCAGTAGTCGCTGCAAACCAGATCAAGTCTTGCACGATTCTCAGAAGCCGTCTGCAACACCGCGTGTCCTTCGCACAGCACGTGCCGGTCGAGCCGAATCAGTGAGACTAGGGTCGCTCTTTCGGCACTGACTCTCAAGTTTGGCCCGACTCTTGCCCGCCAAACGTCTGCGTGGGCAAGTCTTGATGAAACAACTCGAGATCAGCAAGGGTAGTGCAAGCCCGTTGTACATAGAACCCAAAGACGCATAGAAAAGGTCAACTCTGCGGTTCTGTATCTTGAAACCCACGAGCCCTTCCCACAACCGATCTCCGCTTCGGTTACGTGACCCGAGGATGCAGCTGTCTGAGCCAAAGAACGGCCCCCCCCGCGGCCCCCCTCACCCGAAGCTCTCACGCTCAGGCACCGCAACGTGAATGTGGTACAACCCATGCGGAACAATTCCGAGTCACAATCTCGATCGAGAATCAAGAATCAAAATCTGCGTGAGCAATTGTCGCGCAACCGCATCAAAAGGCGGAGATGCGGAGATGCGAAGATGCGGAGATGCATCTTCTCCGGTGGCTGAACAAGCAAGCAAGCAAGCAAGCAGAGGGAGGCTGCGAGAGATTGCGGACTTGCAGCACGAGCGCAGGCTGAGCAGGTGACGGCTGATGATGAGCTTGATTCAAGATTCAAGATTGTTTTCTTCGCTCGCAGCCAGACGCCTGCATGCATGCATGCCGACGGACCGTCCTATCCGTCTTTGCTTCCCGATGTGCTTGTGGGCTGCCGGTAGCAGCTATTATTGCTGTAGCTTTGCCAACAATATGCACCACGGACCCCCTTCGCCTTGATCGAGTTTGAGTGCTAGTTCCAGGTCGTATGATTTGCCGTGTGTCCCGCCTCCCTGCAATTGGACGACGCCGCCGCCAAGGAAGGGAGTCCGGCCTGGCTGGAACATATTGCGTGCCGGCTGCCTATTGCGATTCTTGAAGTCACAGCGGGTCGGACAGCCTTGAAGACTTGACGCTCGCGACAGACGCACGTCTTGATGCTTCTAGCTGATGGTGCACGTGCAATCGTGAAACACGACATGTCCGTGCCGTGCCGCGACACGACTCATCTTGACTCACACTCAAAAAGACTATAAAATTTGGGACTCTGACTGCGAGCCTTTGCTTGGCTCTTGCGAGTCGTGGTTGCTGAGGCAGTCTGCTCATCAGCATAGCATGCACCAACATCGCGTGTTCGGAAAACGATGTTTCTACAGCAATCTGTGGATCAATCGACCTGCTCGACAGCTCCCATCAGAAGCGCGCCCACGCGCACCATCTCCATGCAGCCTACGCGCGGTGCGTCATCGCGGCTGGGTGTTCCTGCATGCATGCTGCAGCCTCTTTCCCGCCCCTTGTATGCGCGTGAGCATGCAGGATGCTGGATTCACTGATTATACACACTACGCAGAAGACACAGACCCTACTAAAATCTCATGTAATCATAAAAGAAGTGGTAACGTCCGCAATGAGCAAGCCCTTGATCGGCGCCGAGCTCATGGCGACCCGACACTCACGATTGAGCAGCAAGGGCCGCTCGGAATCAATTAGGTATGGGGCAGCAGCAACAGTCAC